TTTCGCAGCTGCCTGGACACTCTATAGTTACGCACCCATACTTGCCGGTTGAGTACCGAGCTTAACGTGAGGATGAACACAACCTGCCGACATGTTCTGATTTGTTTTTTGGTGCCTGTCCGGAATCTTATATCAGAACCCAGACTAGTGCTCTTCTTGCTACTGTGAATTGTCCCCGACTCTGAATACTCGTGAGATAGACATGATCGTCGTACTGTATTTTACCTTTAAAGCGTAGTACCTTACCTAGATAGATCGACTCATAATTACGAGGTAGGCAGGTACCTAGATAGATACCTTAATCCTTTCTTTTGCACATCCCTTGTCAGGATGGTGACTGTCATGCCCAAAATCACCTTTGTCAACCCAGTAGGCAGCCAGACCTGGCATCAGCCATACATGGTAAGCAGATCTGACTGATTGGTCTGTCGTTCACTCTGTGGCATACGGGACTCGTCCACAGTAGAAAGCCCAGCACACATAAGGTTGGTTTTCGAAAGTTCGCTCTCAACAAGCTCGAGAAGATAACTAAGGTAGGTACAGGTACCTACTTATACTTCACATCACGGGTAATATCGAGGCGACCATGGAGCACGACTTCAGGTCCTAGAGCAAAGGAAACCAATACATCTCCTTGTAGGGTAACGTACATGATAAGCGAACGTCCCATGCAAGCGACCGTCCCACAAAATCCTACCTACACAACAAAGTCCATATTTATTCAACCAAAACAGTTGAAAACAATTGAAACTACTCGAAATCATACTCCTCAGATGTTTCCACAACTACCTAACAGGTACGCGCATTATGACCAGGCTCGCCGCAGTTGCCACAACGCCGCGCACGCGTCTCAGTTCTCGGCTTCCGACCACTACCCGCCTGCGTTTCCTCCTTGATCTGCACCTCCACCTCTCTCTGGCCCTGCAAATCCTGTGTATCCTGTACACTAAGCGATCCTCCTTGCCGAAGACGTTGTTTCTTTGCCCTCCGGTGCTTGCTTAGCGCCTCATTTGCTGCTCGAAGACTCTGGTTCTCTGCCTTCAACAATGCCAACTGATGCATTATCTTGGACGTCCCTTTCGCAAGGACATCAACAGCTCTTAGAATCTCAGTCGGCGAACTATTCTGATGCCGGGCAATTCGATTCTTGATGAGATTGGTCTGTGAGAAGGCTTCAGTCGGATTGTTTGGCGTCTTGGAAACCCAGGTGTGGGCACTGCTGGGCCGAGAGTTCGAGGGTGATGGCGTCTTAAGCCGGATGTCGAGCTGGGAGATCACCTTCTCGGGGTCAAAAGGAACAAGTCCGGCGCCTCGGAAACCTCCTTGAATGTTTTCGCGTGTTATCGCCGCCTGGTAAGCTGCGAAGAACGCGGGAAAGGAGTCCTCCTTAGTGATATGGGTTATACCGGCCCACATCATCTCCTCAATCCGCTTGCCGTATGCCACCTTAAGTGGGTTGAAACACCCAACATCAGCTGGCTGGAGGATATGAGATGAGTGGGGAGGAATGCAGAGAGTAATAATGTTATTCTCCTTGCAGTAGACCTCGAAGTCGGTCGAGTGGTGGCTGTCATGGCCGTCGAGGATGAGGAGACGATAAACCCCGGCTGTCCGAGCTCTAGTACGCTTATCGAAGTGTTGAATCCATTCAAGGCCTCTCTCGTTGGTCGTCCAACCATTCTCAGATGTCGCGATAACCCAGTCCTTCGGCAATGGGCTGTTCTCGTACCAAGAGGAGAGGTGATATTTGCCCTTGATGATGAACGGTGAGATCGCCCAGCCAGTAGCATTGATGCCCTGGATCACTGTTGCCCACTCGCGATTGCCAGGCTGCTTCGACTTTGCCCTGCCACGCCGTTCGGAGCTCGTAACAACCATTGCCGTCGAGATAACGCCCATCAAAAACCCTGTCTCGTCAAAGTTGTAGATATCCGCTTCCTGGATACCGTACTTCGCCATTGTGTTCCGCACAAGTGCGAACCAGCCACGAATGATTTCTGTATCTTCGCATGGGGTCATCTGGTAGTCGTATTTCCGATTGAAACGCGTAGTGACTTCTGGATGTCATTTAACAAAGTTGTGAGCCCAACGCGTCCCGACGCGTCCCGCATCGCGTTCGGCAAGCAGTCGATTGGCCATATCTTCCACACCAGACAAGCGGGGAGGAAATCCTTTAGAATCCAGATCGAGGATATACTGAGCAATGACCGATTCTTCCAAGTCGGTCAATTTCCGCGAGTTAGCTGGAATGTCGCATCGTGATTGTTTACCGCGTCTTCGACGACTGAGTTTCTTGTGGTCCACAGAATAGATCCTAGTTGCAGCTCTGAGGCTTAGTTTCGGATCATTCTGGATTGCTTGAAGGGCTAATTGCACTTGAGCTTCGTCGTTTTTAGAGGCATATTGCGTTGTGCGGGAAAGTAGATAAAAAATATGGAAGATGCGAATGTGTGGATTTGTGGGACGTTCGCTTGCATGGGACGTTCTGCTTATCATGTACGTTATATGTAACTAGCTAATTACCTAGAATGAAATTATACGTTGCTGCTCAAACGCAATGGGCCATAGAATCATCCAATACATCTAAACGGAAGACTGTTGCACAGGTCGGCTGTATAGGCCGCCACCAGGAATTATCTGATCAATATCGGGAGGAGGCGCTCCAGCCACTCCCGTAATTAGAGAGACTGGGGTGTACTAGCAGTGATTGCACACGAATTGGACGGGGCTGCTCTTTCCTTTTCTGCCATGTCACAGGCATCATGGCAGCCACACTGCATTCGTTGACACTTTCGTCTAAGCACTTTTCCGAATCTGCGTCAGGAAACAACTATGAATCTCTTGACGCCGACCCCAAAAATATCTTCTAGCACCCACGACGAAACCGACAAAAATCCGTCGTTCCGGTGAAGATATGGCTGTTACGTGACCACCATTGATTGCTTCCAGGATTCGATGGATTGTTGCCGATGTTACCGGTGACACCCTGGGCTACTGCTCCCTTCTTAGTGGACCAATGAGACGAGTCCCAGTGCATCGAGTTTTCACCTCTCCAACCTGCGTTCTTGATCATCCAGTCCTTCGAGTCCCTGGCTGGACCTTTGGCGTGTTTCACCATTTGAAGATGCCATACTCCTGGTCCTTCAGCCTTCTAATATCTTCATCAGTTAGGGGCGTACAGCTGCCGCAGCTGCATCGGAAGCCGTAGGTCCAATACAAGTCGATGGGCGATCCGCCGTAATTGATGAAGAGCTCGGCGCCAGCGGGGACCACATCTTGACAAACGGTTAGTGAGAGGACACCCCGCTTATCGTCGAATTGGTAGTCGACATTCCTAGCTGACTTGCAAGCGTGGTTAAAGCGGGAGGCAATTTCGAAGACTGCAATCCCACCTGGGACGATGAAACTGCTCGGGTCAGGAGTTGGCCTCATGTGCTTGGAGAATAGTGATGCTTACGAATTCAGACGCTTGATGCGCTCGACCCTATTGAATGGATCTCCTTCGCCGCCATGGAGTCCTAGGTACGCTTCCTTCGCCGCCTCAGAAAGGTTGTGATAATCCACCATGAGCTGGAAATGGGTCGTCCGTAACAATGGCCTCTCGACCAAGATCGTCTCGCCTCTCTTCAGCTCTCGTACTGCGAAAGCTCCCAAGCCGCCTAGTCTTGACGGCTGAATTCTGAAAAACTCCTCAAAGACGGCCTTCGTGGTTCTGTCCACAAGAGAGGGAGCAGGCCCGCTAGAACAGTTATCATCCTCCAATTCACATCCCTCGGACTCCTTTTCCTGCTCGCCAAGATCCACGTTTTCAGGCGGCGTTGCTGTGCCGAAACATTCAGACGTATCAACGACAATAGGCTCTGGTACCTCGATGAGGCCCGGACTCTCGTTGCTTCCGTCGGCGTTGGGCTCGTTCTCCGGAGACTCCGGTTTGGAGGATACGATATGCAGCGAAGGCGCTTCCGCAACAATGTTGCTATTGGTGAGAGCTAGCGCTAGGGTTGCCACATCATATTGGTCAGACCCATCAGAGCGAATATCGTCAAGGACGAAGGAGCCTTGGGATTTTACTGTTGTTGCAGCAGCGTTTAAGCTCTCCTTCGCAGATCCGGATGACGGCATACTGAATTCGAGTGCGTTTCGATTCGAGTCACTGGAGACTCGGGAGATACTCCTTGGATTCCTATTCACTACGTGGTTGAGTCAGGGTATATCGCCATATGGTGATGGCTGGCCGTTCGTCGACTTACCAGGTGGACGTCTTGATCGCTGCCGCCGCTAAATGCGAGGTGATTGAGAGATGCGGTTCTGCTGTTTCTGGCAACAGAAAAGTGTGCCGGGCTGGGCTAACAATCCTGGTGCGTGGAAGAGTTTTCAATGCCGTGAAGTGCTTTTGAGAGCTGGATTGGGAGGGTATCAAGAAGCTAGGATAATAAGCTCGCCGACGTATGGCATGCAAGACGTGGAAAAAGGAAGGCAAAGGGCATTACTGCTGTGTTGCTGAGACCCCTTGGATGTCTAGGCAGAGGCAGGCGTGGCCAAAGGGCGTAGGAGATGTTTGTTTGAAGCCAGGCAGGGAAGGAAGCCAAGTTGGCTGAGGCCAAGGTCAGGGCAGGGGCACAGAGATGAAGAGTTCGATCAGCGAGCACCACCGATCTCTCACGGCGAGGCGAAAGCAGTCGATACCACCACGGGGGTGCAAGAACAAGGAAGCTTGGTGCCTCGGCGTTCCTCAGAATATGAGACTTAGTCCGGAGAGTGCTGTCAATGTTTTGGGAGACGATGTGATGTGAGGCGAAGATGCTGGGAGGCATGAGATGGGGATCTGGCGCTTATACCCTATGCGGTCCGGTCTGCTTTCCCGGTACCGGCTTTCACGATGCTGGCTTTCACGATGCTGGCTTTCCCAGCACCTATGCTTCCAACTTCAACGGCGCTCGCTAAGGATTACGGCCACTCACTTCAACCAAGCATCGTCATTGCCTTCCAACAAAGACGAAGCCCGCATGGCTCAGTGGTAGAGCGTAGCACTAGTATGAAACCCCCGGCTTCAGCTAGGTCAATGCTAAGGTCGTCAGTTCGATTCTGGCTGTGGGCAACCCGTTCATTTTTCGTACATTTCTTTTGCTAATATTAACTATACATTAACTATCCTGAGCTCGGTTTCAGGCTTTCAGCTAGGCCAATGACAAGGTCGTCAGTTCGATTCAGGCTGTTGGCAAGGGTCATGTATTCCTCGTTTATTTTGAGTGTGGAAGATACTGTTTTGGCGGCGGTAGAGTCGTGGAAGGGGACATATTCGGTAACTAGCAGTGTTGGAACGGTCATGAACTTGCTTGACGAAAACTGTGTCCAGAGCTCGGCAGACGGAAAACAAGGCTGTCGGCAGAGCCCAATATCCCAGGCACTTGACAGTAAGCAAGTCAAGCAGTGGCCCGGAGGCCGATAACCTGTTGACTTGAAGTCGTTTCCAAAGAGCCGTGCGGATCCCAGGTTAAGCCACCCTCTTTGTTCACTGATATTGGACCCTCTCTACACTCTGCATGGCGGCAGTACGTGATGTGGCTGATTAACCGTCCTTGGAATGGTCATTGTGTGTACAGTCACGCCCGCCGGCCCAGCTGACAAGAAAGGCTGCAGGAAGCTTACTACCTCAGGTTGGAAACTTGGGGCTTTGTATGTATGTTGTATACATAAAGACCAGCATTGGCAGCATACAGCCTTTACCATGGCTCCTGTGACCTGTACTAAAAGATAGATTGACCACTGATGTCCTGCCTTATGTACAGGCCGTCCGGGCCTACTATACAACTTCAGAGGAGGACTATGTATCATCGGTGTCATACATCTTTTAACTGGCTGTCGCCAACACAATGACATTCAAGACAGCAAGATTCTGATATACTGCGTCTGCACCAGGTCCCACATGTTGTATGAGCAAAGCAATGTGATTTCCGGTCCGGTGTTTGGTATCAAGGTTCAGATGCTTGCCGTTTCCGGGTCCGGTATCTGTTAGGGAAACCACCTCAGGGGGAGGAGCCGAAGCCATGGAAATGCCAACAGTGCACCTCACAACAGACGAGCCTACCCTGGACCCGCATGCCATGCAACTGTGGAAAGCGGTATTGGGATGTGAAGTGGACTCGAGAGTTGCAGCCGGAAACCAAGGTTTTGCTCTGGATTGTACCTTCATGCAGAACGCAGAACAGCAGCCGATCATGCCTTCAGTATTCACTGCGCTCCATTTTCTCCACCAAGCAGCCCACGAAGTGACAACACTGCGCCGACAACAGGGCGAGGAGCGTGGCTGAGCTTCAACCGCTTCTAAAATCTGCAAACATTGATTCATGGACTGCGCAGCCTCCTCCAGAGAGGCTTTGATTTTCGTTCTGTTGTGTCGTGGGAAGACAGCAGAAACGAGGCAACAGTATGAGTAGTAGTGTTTCGAGGCAAGCGGAAGAGGAGATTGCACGGCGCCTCATACACTCGTAGGCTGTGTAAACTCCTTCGCCAGTCACCCCTCATACTTTTCCTGGTGAACAGACAACAGAACGGTTTTGGGTAGTGGAAATTCGAGCGCCTGCATCGGGGGACACTTGAGACGAGGAGAGAGACGATGGAGGTATCAGGCCACAGGGGCTCAGCGTGGAAGCCTCGGTGACGCAGACAATCCTGCATACTTCGCCGCGCACCCTGTGAACCTTCTTCTTAGGGTCGAGGTGGCTCAAGTTGAGGCAGTGTGAGCTTCCCGTGCTTCCACCAACCGGATCCATGTCGATAGAGAGTGCGGGACGTTAGGCATGCTGCCTCACAGTCCCTTGGGACATGCGAGGAGACAGGTTGGGAAGGCGGTTGTTGTCTATCCGTCTCGATAATCCTTTTCTGCGGGCACTAAGCAAGGGGAATATTCATCAGCGCAAATCTAGCAAGTTGAAGGGAAGACAGAAAAATCGAAGCTGAGATTTGCGGTGCCCCAGTTCCTGAGACGAACTTGCCTGCCAGCAGAGGCGGGCTGAGATGTTAATTGCCAAGGGCAGACCCGTGTATGGTCCGTAGAAGCGCCCGCTAATGCAGATGGGCGCCGGCGGTGGGCTTGTAACGACCGTCGACTTTAAACGGGAAAGGAGAACATGCTGGCAGCGCACCAGGCGCGCAAACCAGACCAACGCTTGGTGGCAGGCAGAGTGTCGAGGGCGCCAACAGCCGGCTAGTGACACAGGCTGTGCTTGCTTGGTCGTCGGGCTCGGAAACGGGCTGGGAAGTGGGATCTCTCTGCTCGTTGAGTGTATTGTGCCAAAGTTGCCAGATGATCTGTTGATCGTCACTGACTTCAAATTTCGATTTCGCTGACTGACGTGATGGCTGAGACATCCTTTATGACAATCGGAACGGCCTCGAGAAAACTCTCGGAACGGTGGCTCGGAACGGCAACAGCTCGAGCCTTCGTGACCAGGTGCCTTCCAAGCTGCCCTTTCCCAATTCAGAAGGAGTGGTTCTATTCGTCTGCCGAGGAATCAGAGTGAGAACAATGCATCAAATGCCCCTGCGGGTTTTAACGCCAACGGCACGAGAGACCTCCATTAACTAACCTTATGGAGCCACCTCATTCATCCTGTCATGCAGGGCCTTTAATGATGCCCATCAGCTGGAATTTGATTGCGCCAAACATGATGCGCTTTCGGCAGATCCGTCACCGCCTCACCTGCCCGGGAAGGAGTTGACGTGTGGAGGTATCCGGCCATCCAGTCCCGCAACGGGTGCTGCGTCTGCTCCAGGTTGTTCCCTCACGGATTCCAGGCCTACATCCCGTGCCTTTTCCTTCTCTGACATGGCGTCGCATCGACGCTATCTCGATGGCTGTGAAGGCCGCATTGTAGGCGGATACTCTGGGTCGCATCGGGTACCCGTCTCTGAAAACCAGTGCCCCACAGTATTTCTGCCCCTCCTCCTTCGAATTCTTCTCATTTGCTCAGGGCGTTTTGCTCTCCGCAACTTGACGCGCGGTGCTGGTTGTTCTACCCTGATCCACGATCTGATTGGGTACCAACGGCACGGTAACACTGTGCGACACTGTGACATGGGTCAAGCTTTGATTTCTGATTGGGTCTGACTGCGAATGCCAAGAAGCTGTTGGTTCGAACGAATGTTCCGGGGTGGAGTGCTGACGAGAACAAACTGCTCCTTCCTTTTGTCTGCGCAAGGCCGCCTTGGGTATTGACGCTTGCGGGGTTGCGCACGGCGTTCTCCCCGCTCGGTCTCGATCCACAGTCCAGCCGACACAGAGCCAACCCCTCTCGAATAATCGAACAAGGCCCTGATTTCCTAGTCTATAATTCAAGGGATATATGCTTTGGTCCGAACGCTTTTGCTGCGAGTTTGTGCTGATGCCGAAGCTCTGGGCAGCAATATTTTTGAAAATCAGACGGTGCGAAGCACAAGCGGCCGCTCTGCAAAGTTGCTGTGTGGGAATCGATGCCAACCGCACCTTGCAGCTTCGAATCGGGGCATCGAGGCAAGACAATCATCTAGCCAATACAGGTTAGCCAGCCTCCCGTGCGGGAAAGGATCTTGCTCAAGCAAGCCGAGCCCCCTAGTCAAGTCTCCACTTAGCATGAGGGAACAGAGTATCAACAGCATATCCTCTGGGCTTTAAAACGAGCTGACCTTTTTGGGATGCTGGTGCATCAAGAATGCAGGGGTAAATTGGCAAAGTCGCAGAATGAAAGTTCCGTGTACACTACAACCTAATCGACAATACTTCAGGGGACAGACCCTTGCTCATACGGGTCATGCCGTGACATTGCGTCTGGGTCTCGAGGCCAGGGGACTGGCGGGATCGGGGCCGAAGGCCGCCGTGGACGCCTCCCGCCCGCAAAGTTTATCCGAAACTCTTCTCCAGCTGACACCACGACTATGGGCGACCATTGACCGTACCATCCGTTCTTCCTTTCGGTGCTTTCCCACGCTCTCCGGGAGTCGGGGCATTTGCCATTCGAAAGTCGAAGCCTTTACAACACTCACGCTGATCGCATCTCGTGCTCGGGATACAGGACTCCGGACCCGGGTCACCGTGCGTGGCTGGCTGGCGCATGCCAAAACACAATCACCTGGGTCAGAACTAGGCGGCGGGGCCCAACAACTTTGCCGAGGGACCTAGAAGCTACCCACCGCTTGGCTTCGATCCCTTTCTGCACGTCTTGCAGGGCCTTGCCAATCACAAGGCTGACTGAACGTCCGGGGGCGCTTCTTGACCCGCCTCGACCACCGAGGTACGGTGAATGTACCTATGTACATACCTCGACTCGAAGGCTGGCCGCGTTCCGTGCCTGTCAGATGATCTCCAGAACCGAACACCCCCGGATTTTGTCAGTTTTGAATTCCCGACTCCCTGGTCCCTGAGAAAAACAATCGGCATCGTTGACCGCCAGAGTCGGACTTTCCTGCATGTCGAATTAGGCAGTCCCTGACGAGTAGCCTCTCCAGCCGGGCGTCAGCGGTCCGCATCGCAGCGATCATCTCCCGTATTTTCAGGACGCCTGGCCAACTCGAGTCGCGGAGATTCGAGCGTTTCCTCGGTACTGAGGTACATACCACCTCCCTCCATCACACCAGGCCATCCCTGACAGGCCGAGGCACACGGCGCCTCCCAGAAGTGGCCTTGATAGGCGACCACCCTCGCCCAGTGCTCAATCCAGTCAATCACGGTGGCCCGAGTCAGCTGTCCATACACGCCCGTAACGACAGCGGCAGGCAATATTATCTGTCGTCTCCCTCGCAGCCAGAGTCTGCCATGCCAACAACATCATTATAAGGAACCGAAATGGGAACCTTTCTCTCTGTCTCCTCCTGGAATAAACCTGCTTCTCGTCGTTCAGCGGACACCATCCACGCCTAAGGAAACAGCCAAGATCACTACCTACCTACCATCTCATCACTTGAAAGGCTCTTTTCCTTAGCTACTCGCACCGAGTCCTGGACTCCAGACAGCGGTGATGTCCCATCGCAACATGGCTTATAGCTACGACGGTTACTATGCGTCTCCGACGCCGACCATCCAGCCGCTGGGGGCACGCTCTGCCTCGGTATCCTCGAACTCGT